AACCTCCACCCCTTCGCTTTGTTCGCTTAGGCCCCGGCACCAAATTTTTTTCATTCATAACTCACAATCTCGTTTCTTTTCATCCGCCTACATCCCCGCACATTTAAGCAACCCAGTTTTATAAAAGTTTTTTTCTTCTTTTTTTAGTAATTTATAAGGAGAAGGGGGTTTCTAGCCCATGCTCCCGGCATTTTTGTGCCTCATCCGACAGAGGCTTCGGAGGAAAAATTCTTTTCCCACTTCCCCTGGACAATAAAAGAAATAAAAAAGAACAAGAGCTATTTAGAAAAAGGAGAAAAACCTGATGTATGAAATTTTTTATATGCATGGCGGTCTGGAAGTGTGACCAAAGTGAAAAGTGGAGTAGAAGATATCCCGTTATCTTAGCGTGTTTATGAAAGAAAAAAAAACCAGCATCCTACCTCATGCAAAACAGTTACGGTTTTTGTTTAAAAGTATCTGGCGGAGGTATATTTCCCCTGGGTGGTTGCTGTTACCAACCTCTACCTTTATATATATAATTTATATATATTTAAAATATATATTTATATATAAATATATAATATATATATATTATATACACAGAAGGCCCCCTTTACGGCTTTTCACTTTACGGCTTCCGCTAATAGGTCATTTCAAATTATGCCCAAAAACCGCTTTTGCGGCTCCCCCCCCCTGATTTCTAATCGGTCACCGCGCCCCCCTTTGTTTTTTTTACATTCTTCGTGAGTCATAAGCACAAAGTCTTCAATTTTGTCGGGAAACTCCAAAATTTAAAAGTTTTTAAAAGTTTTTCTTTTTTTTTAAATATACTTGAAAAATTATACTTAGTATACCTGTATTTAAAAAAAATTAATACTGTGCTGGCATGCAGGTACCATTTAAAAATCAGTAAGAGTGTCTTATGTCCCCAGACGTAAAATTTTGTAATGAAAATAATAATCATCGTCTCTTTAAAATGTCGTATATTACGTTAAATACACTTTTCTTTAAATCCATCTATGTTTTTTTTTCAAAATTATATAATAAACACATACAAAACAAAAAGATGATAAATACACCCCACAAAGAATAAATAAAAAAATATGAGATGTGGGAGCAGACACTTGCACAAGTGACCCCATATTAGAAATGTAATAATAAAATATTAAAAAATACGAGTTTTTTAAATTTTGTATTTAGTTAATATACACTTTTTCTTTAAATCATCCAGATTTTTTTTTTTCAAAATTATAAAAAACCGTACTTTCATAAAAAAGATGATAAATACACCCCACAATAGAATAAAAAAAATAAATATGAGAGTCGTAGCCAGATGCTTGTACAAGTAGCCAAAAAATAACTTTTTTCCTTAATCTAACTAGGAGAAAATGTCTTATGGGGGTAACGTTGAAAAATTTTCCCTTTTTTATGTATGTAAGTTTTTTTCAGGTTACACAAATCAGTTACATAGATTATCTACATAAAAACATATGTGTAGAGAACCTAGGGTAACCCAAAAAAGTCAGGTTTACTTATTTCCATTGCCTTTTATCAGACCATCATTCTTCTAAAAAGATGTTCTGAGAAGGGGGGTGTTCTTCTTTATTATTTCTGTATAAAGTAGAGAAACCTGTACACAAGGGAACTTTACACAAAAACCAAAGTGTACATTTGTTTCAAAAATTCCTTTGCCTGGGTTTGTTTAAAAAACTCTGCGCCGTCTCTCTCATGCATCATTCTTTCTTCTCTCATTTTTTCGTTTTATTCATTCTTTCTCCCCGACCCTAATTTAACCCTTTCAGGGTCCAAGGCCCAAAACGGAGCCGCACAGTGTCCCAAAAATTTTCAAAAAAAAAAAAATTTTTTATTTTTTTCTTATGAAATCATTAAGAATCTTTTTTTTGAAAGGGATAAAACAAAAAAAATCAATTTGGTGGAAAATTTACGAAATTATGCCTTTGCAAATTTTTTTGGGGTCCGATATTTACAATCGGCGATTTTGCCGACTTTGACTCCATTTTAGGCCAAAATTCATTATTCCCGTCAACCAAATTTTTAGCTATTTCACTGTATTACTTCATTCTATCATTGAGCACAAGAAATCGCCAAATCAACTGTTTTAATACAAAAAAAAGGATGGAAAATGTTAATTTGCCAAATTTACACAAAGTTCAAATATTCCAATTTCAAAAAAGGGTCCCGATGAACAATGTAGGCATTCCCGGCACTAAAACTAACATTTCTCTGTTCATTAGTTATGTTTTGAGGCTTTCAAAAAAAATTCCTTTTTTATTTTTTTTTCACATAATGAATTTTTATTCACACCAAAAAATGAAGATTTACTGTTTCAATACTGTAATAATTGTATAAAAATTTTCCCATATTTGTGAAGTATTTAGACCCACCAGCTGGCGTGTTTAAGTGTGAGGTCTTTGTTTACTCTTGAATATCGGCAAAAATTTAACATTTCTGCTACTTTGAGCTCAGTTTCAAGCCATTTCCAGTGCTAAAACCAATCAAAATCATCTCTATTTCTGTAATATGTCTTCCATTCTATCAAATGAGACCAAGAAATCGCAAATACAACTATAAAAACATACGAAAAAACACTGCAAAGTTGCTGTTTAATCGAAAAATCATGATTTCATTTTTTTTCTCTCATTATACACAGTGTGCTGCAGGATCTGTTTTATGTGGTGCACACATACCACATAGATGTATTCTCTCATATCTAGGCCCAAATGTACCACTCACAGTTTATCAGAGTGAGCTGAGCTCATGGCGTAGATCTACGGTTTGGACCCTGAACGTAAAGCCGTAGATCTACGGGACGGACCCTGAAAGGGTTAAGACTACAAATATTTTAAGGTAAGTAATGAGTGAACTGTATATACATTTTATCGCTCTGGGATGCTTAAATATCATGGAATATATGTGTGGGTGGGTTGGCCTGGTATGGTAGCCCGGCTGACTACCATACATACCACACTTGATTTTTTACAATAAATACTACTCATCTCACCCTATATTTTAAGGTAAGTAATGAGTGAACTGTATATACATTTTATTGCTCTGGGATGCTTAACCCTTTCAGGGTCCAAGGCCCAAATCTGGAGTCACGCACCAGTGTCCAAGAATTTTCAAAAAAAAAATTTGTTATTTTTTCTTATGAAATCGTAGAGAATCTTTTTGTGAAGGTAATAAAACAAAAAGTACGAAATTTGGTGGAAAATTGACGAAATTATGCTCTCGCGAATTTTGATGTGTCAGCGATATTTACGGATCGGCGATTTTGCCGACTTTGACTCCCATTTTAAGCCAATTACATTATTCCAATCAACCAAATTCTTAGCTATTTCACTAGTATTACTTCTATTCTATCGATTGAGCACAAGAAATCGCCAAGTCAACTGTTTCAACTACAAAATAAAGTGATCGGAAATTGTTAATTTGGCCAATTTAACACAAAGTTCAAAATATTCCAATTTCAAAATAGGGTCCAGAATGAACAATGTAGGCATTCCTGGCACTAAACTAACATTTCCTCTGTTCATTAGTTATGTTTTGAGGCTTTACAAATAAATTCCATTTTTATTTTTTATTCACATAATGAATTTTTATTCACACCAAAAAATAGAAGATTTACTGTTATGCAATACTGTAATAATTGTATAAATATCATCACCACATTTGTGAATGTATATTAGACCCACCAGCTGGCGTGTATTAGATGTGTGAGGTCGTTTGTTTACTCTTGAATATCGGCAAAAATTTAACATTTCCGCTGCTTTGAGCTCAGTTTCAAGCCATTTCCAATGCTAAAACCAATCAAAATCATCTCTATTTCTGTAATATGTCTTCCATTCTATCAAATGAGACCAAGAAATCGCAGATACAACTATAAAAAACATACGAAAAAACACTGCAAAGTTGCTGTTTTAATCGAAAAATCATGATTTCATTTTTTTTCTCTCATTATACACAGTGTGCTGCAGGATCTGTTTTATGTGGTGCACACATACCACATAGATGTATTCTCTCATATCTAGGCCCAAATGTACCACTCACAGTTTATCAGAGTGAGCTGAGCTCATGGCGTAGATCTACGGTTTGGACCCTGAATGTAAAGCCGTAGATCTACGGGACGGACCCTGAAAGGGTTAAATATCATAGAATTGTATGTGTGGGTGGGGTGGCCTGGTATGGTAGCCTGGCTGACTACCATACATACCACACTTGATTTCTTACAATAAATACTACTTGTCTCACCCTAGATTAAGACTATAAATATTTTAAGGTAAGTAATGAGTGCACTATGTGTGTATTGTACTTTTTATTGTTTTTTGATGCCTGGTTCTATTGCTAACTTAATATATGTTAGTGTAAACTTGTTATCTAGTGTTTGTATGCATTTGTAGGTGGAAAAAAAGGGTGTTCCACTTTACGGCGGTTTCCGCTTTACGGCGGTAGCCTGGAACCTAACCAGCTGTATAAGTGGGGCCTTCCTGTATATATATAAATATATAAAAATATAGGGAGGTACCACCTCTAGAACTGCTATAGGGACCCCCATCCTCAGGGAAAACTCAAGGTTCTCCCTGAAGCTGTTTGAGAATTTTCTCCTACCACCCCCTATATTTTATGTATATTTTATTTAAAGACACAATACATTGACAAAACATTCACAAAAAATACGATAGAAAGTAAAACAACATAGGTAACTCAGAGCTACATCTCGAATACTTCGTTCAGCTCCCGGCGGTGGGCCCGCGTGCCCAGAATGCTGCAGGCATTTCCTCTCTGGATTGCAACACTGAGTCTCTGAAAGAGGAAGCTGGTCGCCCTGTGGTCCTTGGTTTCTATGATGAGCTTTTCACCCAGCTCTATTAGGAATATATATATATATATATATATATATATATATATATATATATATATTATATATATATATATATATATATATATATATATATATATATATTTGTGTGTGTGTGTTTGTAATTATTCATTTTTTCTGCAGAAAATGTTCACAGAGACGAAGGCTCACAGCAAGGCTATAGACATGGAACTGAGGAGACTTGAGGTGGCTCAAGCCAACCAGCATGTCTCGTACCTGACTCAGTACATGCCTGATAACTTCATGTCTAGGGGAGGTAGGTGACATGTCTTGTACCTGTCTCATGCATGTCTTGTACCTGACTCAGTACAAACCTGATAACTTCATGTCTAGGGGAAGTAGGTGACATGTTTTGTACCTGACTCCTATATCTTGTACCTGACTCAGTACAAACCTGATAACTTCATGTCTAGGGGAGGTAGGTGACATGTTTTGTACCTGTCTCGTGCATGTCGTGTATGTGTCTCATACATGTCTTGTACCTGACTCATACATGTCTTGTACCTGTCTCATACATGTCGTGTATGTGTCTCATACATGTCTTGTACCTCTGAATACAATGGATTGTATAAGTACATACAAGAACAACACTAAAGGTGAACAAGGGGACTAAAATCCCTTTAACAAATTAAATCCATCTTCCCTTATATAAAATTTCACTCAAATTTTCTGAGAGTCTCAGTGTACAGTGGACCCTCAACCAGCGATATTAATCCATTCCTGAGAGCTCATCGTTAATCAAAATAATCGTTAGTCAAGTTAATTTTCCCCATAAGAAATAATGGAAATCAAATTAATCCGTGCAAGACATCCCAAAGTACAGTGGACCCCCCGGTTAACGATATTTTTTCATTCCAGAAGTATGTTCAGGTGCCAGTACTGACCAAATTTGTTCCCATAAGGAATATTGTGAAGTAGATTAGTCCATTTCAGACCCCCAAACATACACGTACAAACGCACTTAAATAAATACACTTACATAATTGGTCGCATTGGGAGGGGTTCGTTAAGCGGGGGTCCACTGTATTGAAAAAAAAAATTTTACCACATGAAATATTAATTTTAATACACACAAACTGAAGAAGACATGCACAGTTTCATGACACTTACCTTTATTGAAGATCTGGTGATGATTGATGGGATGGGAGGAGGGGAGAGCATTGATCTTGTTAGTGTTTAGATGGGGAATCCCCTTCCATTAGCACTTGAGGTAGCAAGTCTTTTTCTGGGGTTACTTCCCTTGTTCTTTGAATGCCACTAGGACCAGCTTCAGAGTCACTGGACTTCTGTCGCACAACATATCTGTCCATAGAGGCCTGTACCTTTTGTTCCTTTATCCTAAAGTGTTTCACAACATTGTCAGTGTAAAAGTCACCAGCACGGCTTGCAATAGCTGTGTGAGGGTGATTTTCATCCATAAAGGTTTGCACTTTAAGCCACATTGCACAGATTTCCTTAATCTTTGAAGTAGGCAACTTCTTCAATTTCTCTCTCCCCTCCTCCGAAGCAGTTTCCTCAGGTGTGGCCTCTTACTGTTGAAGATGCTCTAGCAGCTCATCAGTGGTTAGTTCGTCATTGTCCTCCTCCACCAACTCTTCCACATCCTCCCCACTAACCTCACCAATATGAGCACTAGTTCCAGGCATTTTTTCCTGTTCACCTGGGTGTTAGTCAACTGTTGTGGGTCGCATCCTGGGGGACAAGATTAAGGACCCCCAATGGAAATATGTTAGACAGTCCTCGATGATGCACTGACTTTCTTGGGTTATCCTGGGTGGCTAACCCTCCGGGGTTAATCGTTTCTCGGTAATTGTTTCACGTTAAGCCACACCAACAACACTCTCTCCACATCTTCGAGTAATACAGCTGATGGTGGTGCAGCAACAACAACAGCTGACTGTGGTGCAGCAGCTGCTGCACCTTTGGCAAGAACAGCTTCCTTGATTTCCGTTTTCTTACCCGCATAGTAGCGATGGTTGAATTGGGGTTTATTATACAACCTGACCAGCTCAGAGACATGCACTCCACTTTCATACTTAGCAATGAATCTCTTTCTTCATCTCCATAGTAATTCTCACCCTTTTTGCTGTAGGGTTGGCACTAGAAGCTTTCTTGGGGCCCATGGTGACTTATTTTGCAGGTGCAATCACTACAAGGCTGTGATAATATGAAATGTTCCAGTTGTTGTATGTTTGGAAGCGACCGCGGTGGCTGGCTGGCTTGTAAACACTGGCACCAAGGGACAAGTGAGGCGCGCTCAGGCCAAAGTGGACGCGTATGGTACGGAACGAATAACGCTGGTCGGGTTTTTAAGCGCTAGTTGAGGCAAAATTTTGCGTTAAAATGTATCGCTAGTCAGATTTATCGTTAATCGATGCCATCGCTGGTTGAGGGTCCACTGTATATGTAAATAAGATGAATACCGAGTTTCACTATAATCGGAAAAACATATTTAGTAAATAAAATTTTGAGGTGGCAACACTTGTATTACTGGACAAGTAATGACTTACAATAAGTTGTTTGGCCATTTTTCAGTGATTGAAACAGTGGGTAAAATGGATTTTTTGATGAGGTCAAAGTATATAATACAGTGGACCCCGGTTAACGATATTTTTTCATTCCAGAAGTATGTTCAGGTACCAGTACTGACCGAATTTGTTCCATAAGGAATATTGTGAAGTAGATTAGTTGCATTTCAGACCCCCAAACATACACGTACAAACGCACTTACATAAATACACTTACATAATGGTCGCATTGGGAGGTAATCGTTAAGCGGGGGTCCACTGTGGTTACTATAACTAAATACAGCCTCTCCTCACTTAACGATGGAGTTCCGTTCCTAGGACCAAGTCAGTAATAAATTTGTTAAGAGTGAGGAGCATACTATAATGGTAGTGGTTTGTGTTGACCGTCTTTGATATTGTTTTAATGTCACCTTTTCACCATTTATTATGTTTTTAGTATTATAACACACTGGCCGATTCCAGTATATTTTTAAATATTTATAAAGTAGTGTACTGTATATTGTAATAAACAGAATAGAGGAAATCGACTCTAAAATTACATTATTTAGGTATGCATACTGGTAAGAGAGCCCATCGTAAGTCCGAGTTGTCGGTAAATGAATACGTCGCTGAGTGAGGAGAGGCTGTATCGGTACTGAAAAGTCAACAGGCGAATACAAGTTATGGACTTGCCACCTTCGTGCTGGATAATTATCCTAGTTTCATCTACAAAGTACAGTAGGACTCCCATATCTGCAGGAGATATGTTCCGAGGACCTACCATGAACACTGAAGCCATTAGTCAGAGGGCAGAAGAGGGGTTGTTGAGGTGGTTTGGTCATTTAGAGAGAATGGATCAAAGTAGAATGACATGGAAAGCATATAAATCTATTAGGGGAAGGAAAGAGGGGTTAGGGGTCGTCCTCGAAAGGGTTGGAAAGAGGGGGTAAAGGAGGTTTTGTGGTGAGGGGCTTGGACTTCCAGCAAGCGTGCATGAGCGTGTTAGATAGGAGTGAATGGAGACGAATGATACTTGGGACCTGACGATCTGTTGGAGTGTGAGCAGGGTAATATTTAGTGAAGGGATTCAGGGAAACCGGTTATTTTCATATAGTCGACTTGAGTCCTGGAAATGGGAAGTACAATGCCTGCACTTTAAAGGAGGGGTTTGGGATATTGGCAGTTTGGAGGGATATGTTGTGTATCTTTATATGTATATGCTTCTAAACTGTTGTATTCTGAGCACCTCTGCAAAAGCAGTGATAATGTGCGAGTGTGGTGAAAGTGTTGAATGATGATGTAAATTTTCTTTTTGGGATTTTCTTTCTTTTTTTTGGGTCACCCTGCTCGGTGGGAGACGACCGACTTGTTGAAAAAAAAAAAAAAATATATATATATATATATATATTATATATCATTTTTTGTTTAAATACACCTACCATCCGACTTACAACTTGCTCGACTTACGACCACTCGACTTACGACCTGTTGTTTTTATGCCAAATTTCTGGGAAATAAACCAGTATTTGTGTTGTACACAGTGTTTATCCTAAACCTTACAGTATAAAATACAGTACTAACAACATAAAAAGTAAAGTAAAACATGAAATACCAAAATAAAACATAATAATAAAGTCATTACAAAATGTTTTGTTGGTATTCAGTAGTAAAGTTCGACTTACGACCATTTCAACTTACGACCGGTTTCTCAGAACCAAACTCGGTTGTAAGTCGGATGGTAGGTGTACATACCTATTATAAAGTTTAATTAATAAATTATGCACAATAAGTGGAGAATTATCATTTTTTTCACTGATGGGAAGCACTTCACAGCTTCTCTTAGGTTTTGAAGAACTCCCACCAACACTACTTTTGCGCTTCGAGGGCCATTGTTGTTAAGCAAAATTAAGGGTTATATTCGGGCCATGGTAAACTGTGGATAACTGAAACAATGGATACAGGACCCATGGATACGGGGGTCCTACTGTAATTGCTTTTGCACCACTGTAAAGTTAAAATGCTCTTAAGTTGAAGCATGGTATGTTGAACTTAGAATTATTGCACAGAAATGAGACTTGAAACAAAATGTTGCCACATTTTTGCTGATTTCTCTGTTATGGTCACTACTTTTTGTATTTTTTGAGAATTTTTTTCGATGCTTTCCAACCAAATTTATTGATTCCTCCTTAACCCTTCAGGGTCCATACCGTAGTTCTGTGTCTTTGAAGCCAAGTCCATACCGTAGTTCTGTGTCTTTGAAGCCAGAGTCCATACCGTAGTTCTGTGTCTTTGAAGCCCGAGTCCATACCGTAGTTCTGTGTCTTTGAAGCCAGAGTCCATACCGTAGTTCTGTGTCTTTGAAGCCAGAGTCCATACCGTAGTTCTGTGTCTTGAAGCCAGAGTCATACCGTAGTTCTGTGTCTTTGAAGCCAGAGTCCATACCGTAGTTCTGTGTCTTTGAAGCCAGAGTCCATACCGTAGTTCTGTGTCTTTGAAGCCAGAGTCCATACCGTAGTTCTGTGTCTTTGAAGCCAGAGTCCATACCGTAGTTCTGTGTCTTTGAAGCCAGAGTCCATGCCATACTTCTATGGTTTTGAAACTAGGGTCTATGCCATAGTTCTGTGGCTTTGAAGCCAGAATCCGTACCATAGTACTACATGATGAGCTCACTCATAAGCTGTGAGCGGTGAACATAAGACTAAATATGATAGAATGGGTCGATGCAGTAAGTGTGCACCATATAAAATAAATCTTGAAGCGCACAGTGCATAATTAGGAGAAAATAATTGCAAATGTGTTTTTTATTTAAAACACCAACTTTGCGTGTATTTTTGTATGTTTTTTGTGGTTATATCTCGGTTTCTTGTTCTCATTTGGTAGAAGGAAGATATATTACAGAAATAGTGATGATTTTGAGGATGCAAAATAGCTTGAAATGAGCTCAAATAGCATAATTGTTCGATTTTTGCCAATGTTTCAAGAGTAAACAAATCACGTCACACATCCAATACACGTCAGCTAGAGGTCTGATATGCATTCATGAATGCACTGATATTATATATACAATATTACAATATTTCATAGCAGTACTTTTATTTTTGGTATGAATAGAGTTTTGAGACTCTATGACCGCGGTTCAATCCCGGCCGGGGGTATGGTTAATAAAAAATCAAAATGGAATTCATCTGTAAACTCTGAGAATGCAATTAAAGAACAGAGAAATGTTATTTTAGTGCCAGGAATGCCTGGTTTATACTGGATGTTATTTTGAAATCGGAAAATTTTGAAATTTGTGTTAAATTAGCCAAATTACCAATTTCTGATCACTTTATTGGGTAGTACAAGAATGGTATATAATACCGACAAGATGAAATTAAGACACATGTGCAACATCTGGTATCTTTATTGTGACGTTTCGCCAACCAGTGGCTTTATCAATACAAATTCCAGGACATAACTGAAGACAGTAGAACTATGTACAGAAGATGAGTAATCAGTCCCTCAACCTAGGAGTAGGTGCGAAGAGCACCGTAGTCTTGGAGATTCTGAAGCAGAAGCAAGGTGCCTGACGCTTATATACTAACGTCAGTGGAAATGGGACGGGTAGCAGGCGAGGGCATAGTCACTGGTAGGCGGGATTCCCCAGTGGAAGTAGGTCCTTCCCAAAGAGATGGGTTAGTTTGTAGTAGTAGTTGTCGTAGTCGTGAAGGTTATGTACATGTCCTCAGAATCAAGATACCATGATGTTGCAGTGTCTGACAAGTTGTGTAAGAATGGTATACAATACCGACAAGATGAAATTAAGACACATGTGCAACATCTGGGTATCTTTATTGTAGACTTGTCAGACACTGCAACATCATGGAATCTTGATTCTGAGGACATGTACATAACCTTCACGACTACGACAACTACTACTACAAACTAACCCATCTCTTTGGGAAGGACCTACTTCCACTGGGGAATCCCGCCTACCAGTGACTGTGCCCTCATCTGCTACCCGTCCCATTTCCACCTGACGTTAGTATATAAGCGTCAGGCACCTTGCTTCTGTTTCAGAATCTCCAAGACTATGGTGCTCTTCGCACCTACTCCAAGGTTGAGGGACTGATAACCTCATCTTCTGTACATAGTTCTACTGTCTTCTAGTTATGTCCTGGAATTTGTATTGATAAAGCCACTGGATGGCGAAACGTCTACAATAAGATACCCAGATGTTGCACATGTGTCTTAATTTCACTTTATTGGGTAGTTGAAATAGTTAATTGGGCAGTTTCTTGTTCTCAGTCGATAAAATAAAAGGCATACTAGCAAAATAGCTAAGAATTTTGTCAACTGGAACAATGTAATTGGCATAAAAATAAAATCCAAAATGGGTAAAATCGCCGATGCATGAATATCGCTGACGCAGCAAAATTCACAATAGCGTAAGTTTGTCAATTTTCCATCAGATTTCGTACTTTTTGTTTTATTACCTTCAAAAAAGATTATCTATCATTTCATAAGAAAATTTGTTTTTTTCTTTCGAAATTCTTGAACCGATGTGGACAAGTTTCAGATTGGGGCTCTGGACCGTGAAAGGGTTAAATTAAGTCCCTCCCCTTCCAGTTGTTGTTGGTGACTACAATTGACTGTTGTTGATGTTAATGTTGTTGCAAATGACCAGAGGATGCGGCATTATGGTTGCAGGTGACCACGATGCAGTGTTGGTGTTGCTGCTGGTTGCAAGGTTGATCTGGAAGGCGACATAGTGGTGGGTGGTGTAAGAGACAAGTTATCCAGCGCCAGCAGTCATAGATCGCAATGCAATACTCAAGTCCCACTCCGTTGAGCAGTACGCGTTCTCTTCTAGACTACTACAACTCCTCTACACCTTGCAGGTGTGTTTCAACACTGCACCCATTGTACATACTGCAACACTTCAGTCATCATACATACTGCAACACTTAAGTGATACATACTGCAACACTTCAGTCATTATAGATATTACTTAGGATAACAAGGTTAATGTTAGTCACTAACAGTAATTTGTCTAACAGACAATGTTGCATCAGTTTCAACATGTGTTGAACACTTGCAATGTTGATGTTGTTGAAGCTTGGAACACTATACCCGGAGCTGGCATCACACGAACGCAACATTGATTTCTGTGTTGATCTGCTCAGGAAGGACCAGGTTAGTTGAACATTGTTAGTCATTATTAACCATACACAAATAACCCGCACATAAAAAGAGAGAAGCTTACGACCATGTTTCGGTCCGACTTGGACCATTTACAAAGTCACCTAACCAGAAGTGGAGCAGGACGGCTATATATAAGCAGTCCTGCTCCACTTCTGGTTACTGTGACTTCGTAAATGGTCCAAGTCGGACCGAAACATCGTCGTAAGCTTCTCTCTTTTATGTGCGGGTTATTTGTGTATCATTCCAGTTATGGTATTGTGCCTTTTTTTGTTATTATTAACCATATTGTTCATTACTATATTGCTCATTATTAACCATATTGTTCAGTATTATAGATATTGTTCATTGAATATATATTTTTTTTATCACATTGGCCATCTCCCACCAAGGGAGGGTGACCCCCCAAAAATAAACACTTTTACCATCATTCACACATAATCACTGTCTTTGCAGAGGGACTCAGATACGACAGTTTAGACGTCACTCCAAACAGCCAATATCCCAAACCCCTCCTTTAAAGTGCTGGCATTGTACTTTCTACCTCCAGGACTCAAGTCTGGCTAACTGGGTACCCTGAATCCCTTCATCTTCATTCACTCCTATCGAACATGCTCACACATGCCCGCTGTATGTCCAAGCTGCTTGCACACAAAACCTGTTTTTTTTTTACCCCCTCCCTCCGTCCTTTCCTAGGACAACCTCTACCCTTCCTCCCCTTCACTACAGATTTATACACCCTCCAAGTCATCCTATTTTGCTCCATCCTCTCTAAATGACTAAACCACCTCAACAACCCTTCCTCATACCTACTCCTAATTTCCACACTACGAATTCTCTGCATAATACTTACTCCACACACATTACCCTTAGACACAACATCTCCACTGCCTCCAGCCTCCTCCTCGCTGCAGCATTCACAACCCATGCTTCACACCCATATAAGAGTGTTAGTACCACTGTACTCTCAAACATTCCCTTCTTTGCTTCCATGGATAATGTTCTTTGTCTCCACAGATACCTCGATGCACCACTCGCCTTTTTTCCTTCATCAATTCTATGGTTAAGTCAACTCCCAAATATCTGAACACATTCATCTCTTCCATACTCCCTCCCTCCAATCTGATATCCAATTTTTCTGTATCTAAATCATTTGATGCCCTCTTCACCTTACTCTTATCTATGTTCACTTTCAACCTTCTTCCTCTATTATTAACAGCACGAATCATTACTAACAATGTTGTTGATGTCACCAGCTGGACGAGAACATCCCAGTGGATGGACTTGAGAAGACAGTGACGTACTTCACTTCCCTGTACCCAGCTCACCTGGCATCACAGAAGTTGAACCATACCCTCTACCTCAGTGATGTAGCCCGGGTACTGTCCTCTGCTACTGATGCTACTTCCACCTACAGTGACACTGTGACTGTCTTAATGCATGTGAGTACTTACCCAGGTGATGCTGTATGTTGTAGCACTAGGAGGCTAGGATGATATTGTAACCAGGTGACACTGTAACAAAAGTAGTGTACTATAGTGTCTTCCTTTTAAAGAAGAGGAATTGATAAAAAAAATCCAGACTTCCCATTTATTATTATAATCTTTAATACAAACAAAAGTATCAACATTATAGAACAATATCTGTAACGTTGGTTACTGACATTAATGTTCTCCCATCTACCCGTTCACCCTGATGGCAGAAACGACTTGGTTGATCCGTGCCCTTGATTTGCTGTTGTAACAACAACATGGTTGATCCATATCCTTGATCTACTGTTGCAGGAATGACTTAGTTGATCCACATCCTTCATCTACTGTTGTAGGAACAACATGGATGATCCACATCATTGATCTACTCTTGAAGGAATGACTTGGCTGTTGTAGGAAGGACATGGTTGATCTGTGTCATTAATCTTCTGTTGTAGGAAAGAAATATATGAAATGTGGCAGGATAATATTCTCAGTATTGCTGAGGTCTGCCGTCATGGCTGAAGGCAGCACAGCCATGAACATTGCAGTCAGAATCCATCGTAACAGTTTGGGGGAGGAAGTACAGCCTCTCCATGTCCTAGTAAACCATTATTGCAGCCCCACGTTATGATGGAGTGTGGGTACTTTGCAGTGCTCATTGTGTATGCAAGGTTGCATCTCCTGATGCAGGAAGGGCACCTCACCCTGCTTTGACCACCCTGAATTCACTGGAACATGGATTCACGTGATCACGTGACTCTCTTTTTGAGTAGAAGATACTGCAGTGAACTTACTTCTATGTAAACTGCATGTGTTGCATCTTCATCCTGGGTGTGGGTAGGGGCCCCCTTGTTGCATGTCACACCACCTAGGTATCATTATTCTGAAGGTACTTCCTGAACTAGGGGCTCTCAAGGTAGGTTCCTTGATGCTTGTGAGGGGTTCTTGAACTAGTAACTAGAACCCTCAAGGTAGGATTAGTACTCCCTGTGAATGCAATAATAATAATATTGACAAGGTAGTTTTCCCTGTACTTCGTGTCACAAACCTTCACTGTGTGATTGCATCGTTCATACTAACTTTTGTTCTACCCCCACAGCCACAACACGAGTCGTGCGATGTCGCTATGCTCTGCCGGGATGTGAGTGATGCCTGCAAGGAGATGAAGGGTGCCGTGCGACGCGTGCGACGCCGCATGCCGCAGGACGGCTCTGTGGGACCACTCAACTTACCCCAGGAAGTGCAAGAAGCTTTGACAGCGGCACTCTGCAACATGAACAATGCTGCAAGAGCCCTCAGACATGTTATGAAGGCTTGCTTGCAACAAACTGCCCTACTGTCAGGTAAACTGCTCTTGCTACTATCAGGAAAACTGTCCTTGCTACTCTCGGGAAAGCACTTGTTCCTACTCTCAGGAAAACTATCCTTCCTACTCGCAGGAAAACTGTCTTTGCTGCTATCAGGTAACCTGCCCCTTGCTGCTATCAGATAACCTGCCCTTGCTGCTATCAGGTAAACTGTCCTTGCTACTATCAGGTAAACTGTACTTGCTACTATCGGGTAAACTGTACAGGTGCTCCTCGACTTGCGATGGGTTTACGTTCTGATAAATTCGTCATAAGTTGAAAATATCAATACAGTGGACCCCCGCTTAACGATCACCTCCCAATGTGACCAATTATATAAATGTATTTATGTAAGTGCATTTGTACGTTTATGTTTGAGGGTCTGAAATGGACTAATCTACTTCACAATATTCCTTATGGGAACAAATTCGGTCAGTACTGGCACCTGAACATACTTCTGGAAAGAAAAAATATCGTTAACCGGGGGTCCACTGTACAGTGGTCCCTCGCTTTTCATAGTTCTCGGCAATCGTAGATTTCGCCAATCATAGGGGTATTTTCGTATAAACATGGACTCGCTTTTCATAGGTTGACTCCCGAATAGTTCGTCCGGGACACGTACGCACGGTGTGAGCCGGGGAGGCCTCCCTACCCAGCCAGTCTGGTATTGTTTACCAGTGAGTGAAGGTCCCCTCAAGTGCTCCTACGAAATATTTCGTAATCCACTCATTTTAGTGCTTGCAATTACTAAATAAGCTACCATGGCTCCAAAGAAAGCTCCTAGTGCCAAGCCTGTGGTAAAGAAGGTGAGAAATATGTACAGTGACAAAGTCTTGGGCCATTTTAGGGAAGTGTTAAAGAGACGCCAGAAACAGAGCTCTCTCCACAGTTACTTTGCGAGACAGGACTAGAGTGACTCTCAAGGTGGTCCTAGTGGCATTAAGAAACAGAGAAGAGAAGCAACCCCAGAGAAGCAACTGGTACCTGAGGTGTTGCTGGAAGGAGGATTCCCCTTCCAAACTGTAAATAATCCAATCTCTCTCCTCCTCCAGTCTCCCATACACTAAGAAGAATCTCCAATAAAGGTAAGTGTTATGCTGTTAATGTTTCATTCATCATTTCCCATTGTATTGTTTATGTACTACATGTATATTTCATGTAAAAAAAATTTTTGTTTTAATACTTCTGGGTGTCAGGAACGGATTAATTGTATTTACATTATTTCTTATGGGGAAAATTGATTCGCAAATCGTAAATTTCGTTTATAGTAACGGCTCCAGGAACGGATTAATTACGAAAAACGAGGGACCACTGTAAGTCGAATATGATATGATAAATACTGTCACTGAATAAGTAAATAAACAAATAATTACTGTAACTAAATACCAGTATTGAAAAATAAATAAATGAATACAGGTTTTTCTTATCAATACCCGTACACTACTGTATGATGGTGATATTTCAAATTTACGTTGGTGTGATAGCATCATTGTAAAGTTCGAGTATTGTAAATCAAATCGTAACATCAAAATATCATATGTTGCACCATCATAGTCGAAATGTCGTAAGTCACGCCATTGTAAATTAAAAATATCGTAAGTCGAACCATCGTAAAGTCAAAGAAATACCGTAAAGTCAAAATATTGAAGTCGGATCATTGTAAAGCCAAAATGTCATTAACTGAACCATTGTAAAGTTGAAATACAGCTTCTCCTCACTTAACCCTTTCACTGTCAGTCCCTTAATATTACAGCTTTAAAGCCAGTGTCGGTCCCGTAATACTATGCCAAAACTCTAGCGGCTTCCAGTCTTGCGGGGGATAGCTGGTAGGCCTACATATGAGAGAATGGGTCTGAGTGGTCAGTGTGCGCAGTATAAAAAAAAATCCTGCAGCACGCAGTGCATAATGAGGAAAAAAAACTGCGATTGTGTTTTTGGTTTAACCCTTTGAGGGTTTCGGACGTATGTACTAGTATGGTTTACACGCAGGGGTTTTTGATGTACTAGTACGCATAAATTCTAGTGCCATCAAATCTCACGGGAAAAGGCTGGTAGGCCTAGATGTGAGAGAATGGGTCTATGTGGTCGGTGTGCGTGGTAGAAAAAAATCTGGGACCCAGTGGTGCATTGTGGGAATGCCATCTTAGTACACAATATCCACCATGCCTCGCGGTAAGAAGTTCCTCACTCCTCGGCGAATTGGGACACTTTTGTTCCCCAGTGACAGTTCTAATACAGATGGAAGTGCCAGTGAAGATGAGTTTCAAGGTTTTGGTGAGGTTTTGACCGAAACTAATGACCATAATATCGGTAATAGTGAGGAAAACCCAGACGACCCTCAGCCTTCCACCTCTGGTGCTGGGCCGTCTTGTTCACGTTCAGTTGTACCAGAATCAAAGAGGAAACTCCTATTTTCCCAAATCCCAGACTCAAATGTGAGCATTTGTGATGATAGTGGTAGTGATTATGAACTACAAGCTCTAGAAAACAGTTCTAGTAGTGATAGTGAAGTGCAATATTCCCCAGTGAAGCGTCAGTATGTACTACGATATATGCGCTCTGGTAGTGTGCCATATGGTATTCCAAGGGGAAGGAGTACATCTCGGAGTACAATCCCATGGCTGTACAACAGGAACAGACAGTGAAAATGACGATGATAGTGTTGCAATTGGGATGGAAAATGTGCGTGGTGGTGGTAGTGGTGGTGACGGCTGTGAGGCACCAGCAGTGGGCCATGCTGCCACCCACGCTGCCACCCACGCTGCTGCTCAGCTGATCAAACAAAAAAGGGCCCACCATCCTCCCACCCCACCCCCACCACACCAGCCTCCACAACCACAACCGCAACAACCACAACCACCTGTCATTGACCAGTACCCACCAGCAGACCGCACCTGGGATTGGCAGGAAGCTGTCAATTTTGTTCCAAATGCCCACCAGTTTGATGACAGCCAAAGTGGAATACGGCCATCTTGTACACTTGGGAAACAATGCCACTGAACTGGAAAGTTTCGAGTTATTCTTTGATGAACCCCTGATCGAAAGTATTGTCATGGAAAGCAACAGATACTACGAGTACACCATGGCAAACACATTACTTTCACCAAAATCACGTCTACACCAGTGGAAGGAGGCAACTGTGGCTGAGATGCATCTTTTTCTTTGCCACAATAATGCTTATGCCATATGTGTATAAACACAAAATGAAATCATAATGGTCAACAGACCGCCTGATTGCAACCCCAGGATTCAGTGATATAATGCCAGTGAATCAGTTTGTGCTAATGTTACATAGCTTCACTTCTCAGACAAAAACAGACCTGACAGAAATGACAGGCTATATAAGATTAGGCATGTGTTTGTGTATCTGAAAGAGAAATTCAATATGTATTTTTATCCCTTCAGGAAGCTTGATTCTGTTCAAAGGAAGACTCTCAAGCAGTACATACCAAGCAAGAGGAAACGCTTTGGTATAAAGTTGTTTGTGCTTTGTGAGTGTTACAGTGGTCTGGTATTGAATATTATTGTGTACACTGAAAGTTATACATTGCTAAATACCAGGAAGTTATTGGGCATCTCTGGTGATGTGGTTAGAACAATGATAGAACCATACCTTGGTAAGGGGCATATATTATATACTGATAACTGGTACACAAGCCCCTCACTCAGGGATTTTTTGCGAGTGAACATGACAGATGTGTGTGGCACAGTGCGAGTAAATCGGAAACATATGCCCAGGTTTGATGCTGGCACTTGTAGAGATGAGGTGCAGGCGTTTGCTGCCAATGACATCATGGCATTTCGGTGGCATGACAAACGAGACGTCACACTGTTGTCATCAGTTCACCCTAATGAAATGGCAGACACTGGCAGGCAGCATAGAGAGAACAATGAACCCATTCTAAAACCCGGGAGCTGTGATTGATTACACCTTCAACATGCGTTCAGTGGACAAATGTGACATTTCAGATTGGGTTTGCTGATTGTGTTCGCAAGAGTTATAAGTGGTACATCAAACTGTTTTTCCATCTTCTGGACATTTCCCATCTCAATGCTATAATATGTATAAGATGAGGACCAGAAACAAACCACAGTACGGTGGAATTCTTTTTTGTCTGTCATCAGACAAATAGTATTCAAGTACCAAGGAACAGCACCCGCAATAGACCGCCCACCAAAAATTTTCAACAACTACTTGCTCGTCTGAAGCTGGGGATCACTTTCCTGGTAAAAAATGCCCGCTACTGCTTTCAAGAAAAAGGCTCAGAAGAGGTGTTACGTCTGTTCACATACAAAAAACGCCCCCAACAACGCAGAGACACTCGTTTTTTGTGTGAGGAGTGTAAAATACCACTGTGCATGACACCATGTTTCAAAGAGGGTTTCCCCAGGCTGCAGAACTTCTAGAAACATGTCCTGTGACTGTATATGTGTATATAAAATATAGAAAAATAGTAATAAACAACATTTCATATTGTTTGTTTGTGTAAAAAATTTTCTATAAACAAAATAATGACAACAGTGTTTATGCCCTTATTGTGTATATTGAAAAAAAAAAAACTTACAAAATACTGATCATGTTGGCCTCACAGGCCATAAAAGTTACTTGGAAAAAAAAATTAAAAAATAATAGAAATTAGTACATAAGAAAGAAATAAAAATATACCGGGAGACGGCAGTCGGCGATGTTGCCACATTGTCCCCCTTTTTCATCAACTTCACGCCTCCATATCTCCGTAAGTATTGATGGTAAAAAAATTTTTGTTTAGCCTATAATATTTAAAAAAAAAAACTTTTTTTTTTTTTTTTTTTTTTTTTTTTTTTTTTTTTTTTTTTTTTTTTTTTTTTTTTTTTTTTTTGATTTGGCCGACCCTGAGAACAGTCTCTGAGAGTACCAGCTGTATAGTCCTTGTGGGTTAGCGCTTCTTTTTGATTATAAAAATAATTGAGAGTACCTGTCGACCCTCAAAGGGTTAAAGCAGCAACTTTGCATTGTA